GAAGGAGATCATAAGTATGAACCTTTCTATGTTTATCAGTCCAGTGTGCAGGTTTATGTATATCCAGTGTGACGTAATGGATGGTATTACCACTGAGATTTAGAGTTTCCAAAAGTGGTCAATTTCTAAAGCTATTTAAAGATAGCTCAGAAATCAGGTTATTACTAAGATTCAGGTATTTGATATTCCATTTTTCATCTCAGACCACAGTAAGGTAGTAATATTATTATAACTTAAATCAACTATTGTTACTGTTTGTGATATGTCTGTGGGGATAGTAGATTTTCCAGTGAAAGAACAATTCATCAAGAACTTCCCATCCCACCAGCAGTCAGAATTGTAATAGATACCAACACCAGTCTGCTGTGATTTGGTCTCTGACAATCCGGTAAAATTCAGGCAAAGGACCACAACTATGACTTTCACATAAGGCTTTGCCATAATATCTAGAAATAAATATGCAAAATTATAATAATTAAGGACCAAAGAGAAATCAGAAAAACCTTAAACGTGTTTCTTTCAAGTAAAGGAAAAAAAACTCACTGCCAGATCATATTAAACGTATTTCATTAAGAGAGTCACAATTACTTTGAAAAATGCACATTTAGTCTGAAGTTGCTAAAAACTTATTTTCAAATTTTCTTACTTTTCTCACAGATGATCAGTCCATAGCGCAGCCACTCAGAAACTTGTGAACTACTAACATCAGGGACTTTTGAACTCCAATTTCCTCTATTGTACATACTTATCAGGGAGCAAAGTCTACGAGTCATAATATGACACATAGATGTGGAATGATTCTCATGTTTTTAGTTAATAAAATACTCATATCATCAGTAAACCAACAACATATTTTAAACTAAATTTAGTACATACTGTACTTCCAAAACAATTTAAAGCAGAGTCTAGATTTTTAGAATTTATTTGTTTCACTTCAAAAACATATGGATTAAAAACTCAACACTCTGTTTTACATATTGAAACAACAATCAATACAAATGCTGAGAATAACTTTCTTCAAGAACAAGAGGTTTTGGAAGTACATAACACTATCTTACACAGAGGCATGTAGTGTGTACTTCAATATTCCTAGAATCTCAAATGTATCTAGTAGTTAAATAAATACAGGAGCACACAAGAAATCTTCGACTTTAAACAAAAACATCCAGAAAATATAAAGGGATGCAGTTAGAAGTTAAACCACAAATAAATGCACAACACAGGGTGTATATGGCATCAATATTTTTTCAATCTCTGTAAAGTTTATGGAAGGCAACCAAATATATTAAGAAAATTTACAAATAATTAGCAAGCACCATACATATTAATCCTTATATGAATAAGGATTATTTTTGCTAACTTTAAATTACAAATGGACATTTTAAACAAATCCAAAGACATAATTTAACACTATTACAGGTTTTTGAGACAAGTTCTTTCAAACACAGTTTGCATTTAGTACCTCAGTGAGAAGAACTCAACATCCAGGTACTGTATGCAGTCATGTGGTCATGCACATAACTAGCCAAAGTTATCAATATTAACCATATAATGGCCACAATGTGCCCGTACAGATTTTATATATATCTTTGATAGAAAGTGCTGCTGAAAACTTTTTAAAATGAAACTTCTATAAATTGAAGCCCACAAAGTATCAATCTGCCATTAATATGAAGTGAAAATACTAAAAGCTTTTCATTTTGTTTCTTTGCCATGTTGAGCATGTTGAGAACACACAAGTTCTATATACCAATACCTAACACAGCAAAGGAATTTGTATGTTTCAGGGGAATTTGTATGTTTCAGGGAAATGTATATTTTAAAGAATATTAATAAGGATAACAAATATCCACCTCTGTAAAGCAATTTAAGCTCCATGAATGAAATGTGCTGTGTATGTGCAAAATGTTATCAACATTTATTCCATGTCTAAAGTGAGTGAGACAATTACTTTCTTTTTTTTTTTTAACTAAACAACTGGAGTAAAAATCATCTTGCTGTTGCCATCATTCATCTTAACACCATCTCCTCCCTCCTGTTTGACATACTCAGTTGTTGCATCATGTCTAAACTAAGGCCCCAATCCTGCAATCAGCTCCATGTAGGCAGGGCCGGCTCTGGCTTTTTGGCCGCCCCAAGCAAAAAAAAAAACAAAAAACAAAAAACAACCTGCGCGGCCGGAGCCAGGATTCAGGGGGACTCCCTGCGCGTCAGATGTGCCCCAGCTAGCGGGGGGAGGGGAAGGAAGCGGGGGGTGAGAGAGAAGGGGGGTGGCCAGGGCTTTAGCAGGGCACTGCCACGCGGCCCCTGCCGCCTGCTGGGAGGGCTCCGCGCCGCTCTAGTCGGCTGGGAGGGAAGGACGCGGACTGCCCTGCCGGGCTTGCTGCAGTGCGCTCCCGTCCTCCGTGCCGCCGCCCCCTACAGGGCGGCCGGAGTGGAACAAAACACAAAAAAAACAAAAAAGTGGCCGTGCCGCCCTAGGATTGGGCGGAATGCCGCCTCCTACAATCTGCTGCCCCAAGCACCAGCTTGCTTGGCTGGTGCCTGGAGCCGGCCCTGCATGTAGGTACACTCCTGCATTCATGCAGAGTCCCACTGACATCAGCGGGGCCCAGTGCAGGACTGTGACGGTCTTTTGTGACATGCCTACCACACCTTTGGGCACTGTCAGCCAATAAAACTAGATTCGACTTTATTTATCTTTTCATAAGTACCACATTCAGTGGGGAAGTTAATGTGTAACATTTGTAAACCTATTAGTACTAGAAATTTATTGTCTAGTACAGCCTGTTAATAACCATTCACAGGAAATCATTTACATGGCCTCCATTATTAAGATCACTTGTGGCTATTAGAAAACAACACTATTCCTAACTAACGGTAACAAGTATAAAAGCCTTATAATTAGCAAGTTTAGTTTTTACATTGTAATACATTATTCTCTCTCCAGAAACAGTTAAGAGGGTTTTAATAAAAGCTGCCATCATTCTCAAAGTGCAAAGGTTTCATTAAGACCCCAATTCATCACGATACATAAGAACATGCATAACTTTTAAGCATGTATTAATTCTATTGATGTTAAATTTAGGCAGATGCTTCCATACAGTGCAGAATTTGGACCTAGATTACTGTCATGTTTAGAACGACAGAACATTTTAGAATTTAAATACCAGTTTAGTTAGTAACAAATTTATATTTCTAGTCATTGTAAATAGCTACACTTTTTTTTTTTATTTAGAAAAGTAATGGTCTCAATCACTATGGCCTACAGTAGTGTTATTACAGTGTTTTGAATCCTCACCTGTAGAATACCATAGAATATCTTTTATTAAGATACCCAAGAAAAAACTGTGTTCCCCTAATATAGTAGAGGAAAGCTAATATCAATACACCTTTGAAACACCTCACTTCAGCAACATAAATAAAATATATTATAAATACCTTATATAATTTAAAAATGTAGCATAACTAGGCTGGTACTTAGATATTATAATGCTGGGAGTTCAAGAAATACTTCTGATAAATTCCAAATTTCAGTATTGCCAACTAAACATTTCAAACATGAAAAAAATGAGTAATTCTGCTGAAACAATAACTGTGAACTAATGTTGATGTATGGAAATATATTTCCACGATAATTCTGAATCTAGAGAATTTTTCTTTTTTTAAAAAACACATCGAAATGCATAGCAGAAGCAATCGGAAATTAAATAGGATTCTGTTGTAGGTGCTTTCATTCACATATAGTAGGACTGCATATCACATAAATGTTTTGGGAAATGGTCAAAATGCAAGCTAGTATGATATGGGATTTTCCCATACATCTACATCCATTGGCCTGCTATTGATACTGCTATTCCCAGTAGCAGAATTGATTCCATCCACAATTTTTTTTTATAGCTACTTAATGGCTTTCTATTGCTTCCTAAAAGTTTAATTCCCAATTTCTTCTCTAAGCATCTGGTTGAATAAAGTATGGCACATCCTTACAAAGAAGCAACTTATTCTCCTAAAGAAAAAAAATACATATCTTAACAGTTGGGCAGCAGCTGCCATCTTTACTGAGTCAAATTATAGATGTGCTCTGAAACCAGAAAATGTATAATCCTTTGATTCCCATTAAGAATTTGTTACTTTTGTTTCTATCTATGTGAATAGTTATTGTTCAGCTTTCTGCATTAATTTTATATTTACTACTACATGATCATGTATTTGAATACATGCTGTTTTGCTACCCTCCAAAAAAAAAAAAGGGTTTTCAAATTAGAATACAAGCTTCTAAATATCAAAGCAGATACAGTACAATAATTGACTGTCCCAGTTATGCCTAAAATGTTGGGCACAGATTTTTCTTAATGTCTTAAGGATCAAATAAGTCAGCGTATGCTTGTCTCTAATTAATTGAAAATAATCAAAAGAAAATTGTCAAGAGTTCATATTAGATTCCAACAGTCAATATGCATCAACTGCAAATAAAAACTGAATCTATTTGAATAAAGATTTCACTGCATTTACAGGGCTACAGTTTTGAAAGCTAGCCTCTGTTTTTGCATCCAAAGTGTGAGTATGGCTATTTGGAGATGAAGAAATGGTTACTTGGATGTCAGGTACAGATTGTCACTACGGGTATGTCTACACTACGGGATTAATCCGAATTTAGATAATTCGAATTTGGGAAACAGGTTGTATAAATTCGATTGTGTGCGGCCACACTAAGCACATTAATTCGGTTTTTAACCACATTAATTCGGTGGTGTGCGGCCACACTACCCCATTAATTTAACCACATTAATTCGGTGGTGTGCGGCCACACTAACCCTAATTCGAATTAACAAAATCGATTTTGGCGCTACTCCGCTCGTCGAGGTGGAGTACAGAAATCGATTTTAAGTGCTCTTTAATTCGAATTAACTGGCTCTGTAGTGTGGACGGGTGAAGGGTTAATTCGGATTAACGCTGCTAAATCCGAATTAAAGTCGTAGTGTAGACCAGGCCTACAAAGCAGTTATTTAGATGACTGACCTTTGCTGCACTCTAAATAATTAGTTGCAATAATGAAGGTCTGGCTGAGGGTGGGCTGAAAATCAGCACATAACACATCTGTATAAAAGAAGCCAGATTGCCTTTTGGCCCCTTCCTGTAGGGTTTATCTCTAAAGAACTGGAAAGCCCAATTATTCCTTTGTGGTTGGTTTCCTACCACTGCCACAAAGCATGACTCCAATGTTGCCAGAGAGTCCCTCTTACCACAGTTATCCCAAAGTCCGCTTCTTAAAGAATGATCTGCACAACAAAAAAGAGGCTCTATGGAACAAGTAACAGAGCTGCAAACTGTATTGCTTTTTCCAAGGAATCTCTGCAGAGCCAAAGGTGGAACAATGTGCATCCTCCCAACTCTACACCTCACTCCATGCAGATTCCAGCAACTTCTCAGAGTCTTGAGGTGAGAGGACGTAAAACAGCACTTCAGAGGCAAGGAGGTGCTCAGTATCTTGTAGGATCAGTCCCCCAGTAAATCTCTCTTACTGGCCTCAATTCAGCAAGGTACTTGACAAGTGTGCATGTTGAAGCATGTGCTTAAGTATCTTGCTAAATCAGACCCATTATTATGGTAAATACTCTATTGTAAATACTGAAATTATGCAACAGACATAATACTGCTGTGCTAAAAATGTTATGTAATAAATATTATAATAAACTGTTGTAAAAACAGAAATAATTGGCATGCAATTGTTTTATACATACAAATGTAAAAACGTAAATGAACTCTCATGATTGCTCTTGTCCCAGTACTCTGTGTTTAGTGTGTGGTTCCACACGGGTTGACTGAGGTTTGACAACCCATGTTGCGGGTCTTTACTTCAACTCGAAATAGAGTTCCATCTGCACACATACAGAGCTTATAGCGCAGCCAGTCAACATTATTAAACTTTTCCCCATAAGAACTTGGTAGTCGAGACGTGCTGAGCATCACAGTTCCATTTAAGATAATGCTGTTTTCCTAATAAAAGAATAATTATACAATGTATTACTTAACAGAAGTAGGATGTTTATTTCCAAAAGAATGTAAACCAATAGCTTATTTTCAAAGCTACCCTAAAGATAATAACAGGTTATTAATTTTGTTTACATCTTAAGTCTTTTCATAAGAACTTTATTTAAAAAAAATCACGAGTGAATGTAGTGCTCATACATCTCAGTTCTGACCCGCCGCATACCTTGCTATTCCACTCATAGGCCAATACCAAGCACACTACTCATTCTGTGGTAGTTAGATGTGGATGCACAATACAATGAGCCCACCAAGCTTATCTTCACTTGTGAACCAGAACAAATTAGACTTTAAACATCAATCTTCTAAAATCTACTATTTTTCCCTCTTCCCCACTTCAGACTGTCCACATCATTACATAACATCAAAAAGCATACAGTATGAAATAATTACTAACTCAAAGTTTTTGAGACACCATTTCAAAAGATGAATAATTAAATTATTACATTTGCTTTTATAATGCTACAAATTAATTGAACTGCTATTAAACTATATTTTTATACTGAACTTACAATTTTGAATCCATCCAAAAAAATTAAGAAGCCTAATTTTTTTCTTCTTGGTTTTAACATGGAACTATTAGAAATAATTTTGTCAATTTAAAATACTTACTGCCTTTAGTTCCATATCACCACCCATGCGAAACTCAATGGTTTTGCCCATGATGAAAACACCTTCATTTCCACGAACAATGGCACGTCCGTCAACCTTTATATTTAGGTCACTGGTAGCATTGCTGGTAATCTTAAAGGGAAAAAAATATGCAAGAAGAATGAAATAATGGTAGATACAGTTTTAAAAGTTCCATTTTTGCTTGGTCTTTAAGTAGTTTTGTTAAAAATTTGAATATAACACTGTCAATGCATGTTGCATATCCCTCTCCCTATGCCTTTAAAGTTTCTACAATTTTTTACTACTCTGAACAATCAGTCATGTCTAGAAACAAGGATTACCTATCCTGGAAAATTTCTGTGTCGCAGTAAAAAGTTAAACTTTCTAGACTGTCAGCTGACTTACACTTGCGTATCACTTGGCTAGGATTAAGTACAATAAGAATTTCAACCATTAATACTAGAGCATGGATTCCCAAACTTGGTTTGCGGCTTGTTCAGGGTAAGCCCCTGGCGGCCTGCGAGACGCTTTGTTTACCAGAGCGTCCGCAGGTACGGCCACTTGCAGCTCCCAGTGGCCGCGAACGGTGAACCGTGGCCACTGGGAGCTGCGAGCGGCCGTACCGGCGGACACTCTGGTAAACAAAACCCCCACCAGGGGCTTACCCTGAACAAGCTGCGAACCAAGTTTGGGAACCCCTGTGCTAGAGAATTTAGAGGAACATATAAGTAGTGATTTTAGTCAATTAGGCAATAACGTGCCATCGCTGGTAAAATGAGGGTCCGGCTGGAGAATCTTGCCTGTATGCTTGGGGTTCTACTGATCGCCATATTTGGGGTCGGGAAGGAATTTTCCTCCAGGGTAGATTGGCAGAGGCCCTGGAGGTTTTTCGCCTTCCTCCGCAGCATAGGGCAGGGGTCGCAAACTGGAGGATTCTCTGCGACTTGAAGTCTTTAAATCACGACCTGGAGACTTCAACAGCTGAGTTAAGGGAAAGTGGGTGGGTCAGCTTTTGTGGCCTGCATCATGCGGGAGGTCAGACTAGATGACCATAATGGTCCCTTCTGACCTTAAAGTCTATAAGTCTATGAGTCTAGTTTAGGTGCCAAATTTAATCTACCTTGTAAGTCTCTCTTATTCTGAAGAGTGATTATATAAAAATTATTCCTCCTAACCCATCAGATCTGTTCCTTGTGTGTATTCAGAGTTATAGTTGTTTACTTAGGTACAAAAATAAGTTTACTTTTTATTCCTGTTAGTTCTGCAGAGTAAACATCACAGAGAGAGTGAGCTGGATTCTGTTCATTCTTGTACATCATCAACAATTGTTCACTAAATTCTAAATACATAGCCAGTTACCTGTGTAAACCTACTGAAGGCAATGGGGTTGTATAGTTGTGACTAAGGTCTTAATGTGGCCTGCAGAATCTTTATTACAGATGGTGATGTGCAAGAAAGAAACCTCAGAGCTTGATTTTCAGATCCCATGTTGAATTTGTAATGGTGGCAGTTGGAAAACATCATCTTTTTTACTAATAAATGAGGCACATTTGATCTGGAAGTCAAACTGACAAACATGGAACCCTGCAATGCCATTGTTGTTCACTTTTCAGTTTAACTGCACATAAAAAATTGTTATATTGTGCTGGATAATGTCATCTGATTATTACAAATCTATCACCAAGGAAAAGAAAGCAATAGGTACAGCAGGGGCGGGCAAACTTTTTGGCCTGAGGGCCGCATTGGGTTTCAGAAATTGTATGGAGGGCCGGTTAAGGGAGGGGGTCATGGCCTGGTCCCCACCCCTTATCCGCCCCCCTCCCCGGGACTCCTGCCCCATTCAACCCCCCCGTTCCCTGACGGCCCCCCCAGAACCCCTGAATGCCCCCTGCTAGCCCATCCACTCCCCCCCATTACTGACAGCCCCCTCTGGGACTCCTGCCCCATCCAACCACCCCTTCTCCCTGTCCCCTGACAGCCCCGGGAACCCTTGCCCCTGACTGCCCCCCGCTGCCCCATCCATCCCCCCCTCTCCTTCCTGACTGTCCCCCCCGGGACCCCTGCCCCCATTCAACCCCCCTGTTCCCTGTCCTCTGGCCACCCCGACCCCTACCCACACCCCCTCCCCCTGACCACCCCCCCGAACTCCCCTGCCCTCTATCCAACCCCCCCGCTCCCTGCCCCCTTACCACGCTGCCTGGAGCACCGGAGACTAGCGGCGCTACAGCCACACTGCCTGGCTGGAGCCAGCCACATCGTCGCCACCGCGCAGCACAGAGCACCGGGTCAGGCCGGGCTCTGCAGCTGCGCTGCCCAGGAGCTCGCAGTCCTGACGCCCAGAGCATTGCACCGGCGGCGGGGCGAACTGAGGCTGTGGGGGAGGGGGAACAGCAGGGGAGGGGCCGGCGGTAGCCTCCCAGGCCAGGAGCTCAGGGGCCAGGCAGGAGGGTCCCACGAGCCGTAGTTTGCCCACCTCTGAGATACAGGTTGTGTGTTCTGTGCACTCACGTGTGTGTGTGTGGTATTTTTAAAGAACTGAGTTTTTTAAAAAAATCTGAATTTCCCACAACCTCTGAACAGTAATAATTATACAACAAGCTATTTCTGGACCACTTAGCTGTAAAAATCAATAATGCTAGCGCATGAACAAACAGGAAAACTCCAATAGCAAACAGAAAAATAAATTTGGGTATTCTGGTCCTGAAATGTTAGGATGGTTAATTAAAGCATTTTAGTTTATCTTAACTTATTCTCTACTTGCAACAGTGTACAATAAAAGAACATAGTTATTATGACTTTTCAGGATTTTACTGTTTACATTTTGTGACAGTTACTTCATGACAAAATACTTTTTTGGTTATACTTCTGTATTTACTTGAATATGACCAAGTCACAACACAAACTGCATTCCTACTTTGCAATAACAAACAATTCCATAATCAGCCTTTATATAAAAGAAAAAGTGAGCTATTAAAATAGTTCATACCCTCTCCGTAGATGCCTTCTGTACATTCAAAATTTTCACTCCATTTGGCAAATGAAACTCATGAGTCTCATAGTCTGTGCTGAACAAAGTATTTTGTGTCCTTGGGTCAATAAATTCCATACCAATATCACTGGTAATGGAGGTTTTGTCCTTTTCAACACTAAGTTTTGTTGTTCCTTGCTGAAATACAATCTGCAGAAACAAATAATTAAAATTATTTTAAAACATGACAAAAACGTTTCTACTATAGTTATGATTAATAATAATAACGCAAATCCCCATATTGTTCACCACGTATGTTCAACTCATGTAACTTACAGGCTGGTTATTTCCAGTGATAACCAAATCTTCATTACGCCTCCCTCCTATTGTACTTTTATATAATGGATGTATAACTCCCATGTCAGATACTTGTTTAAATCGCAGTAAGCCGCTCTCGTGAAACTCCATGCTGTCACAACCATTGGGCCCAATACGAATCACAGCCCAGATGACAAGTGTGATCTAAAACAGTAACACAAACAAAGTTTAATATTTATTGTAATACTACAGATGCAGGAAAAACAGAGTGGTCAAAATACTTTTTTTTAAAGGAGTGTTTAATTAGTTATTACATTTGAAATAACTCCAAGCATACAAATTATTTAAGTGCTAGAGATTTTTACAATGGGTGTGTGAAAGGAAGTTTGTTTTAAAGAAAATATTTTCCTTTGCTTTACTATGTTTATGCTTTCTTTCCACTGAAAACATAGAAATGCAGTTAATCACAATATATGGTTATTTGTAAGCCATCTGAAATATGATCTAAAATAGTTTGTAAAATATTATAAAAACCTACATTCTCCTTACACTTGAACATTTTGAAATTAAGTAATGTGGCTTGAGACATCTTCCTGTTTGAGATACTGTCTATATCCTAAGCTAAATAAACTCAAGGGGAAAGGTGTTTGTTAACCCAGGACAGAACACACTCAATCTTGAGTTAAAAGAAAGGACCCCTCAGTGTTGATGGTATACTGAAATGTCTAACTATGAGGAGATGAGAAGCAAAGGTGGGTATTAAAATAGTGAATTACAGTAGCAAATCAGAGTGCAGATTGCACAGGATGAATTCTGAAAACTAATGTACAGTTCAGTTAGTAACTATACAACATTCCTGCGATCTGATGGGTTGAGAGCACTTTATTGCATACATTAGTTAAAAATAATTGTATTGAACGTTGCACTGGTAATACTTTGCATTGTTTGTCATGTACAGCTCTGGGTGTGGGAATAACCAGAAGATTCCTGATCCTGATTAATATTAGGGACATAGGCTCGGTTGTGGCAGTGATACATGTGGCCTCTTAGATGAGAGGATGTAAAAATAAGATTTAGCGTTTAAGCTCTTTTTGGAAGGAACTGTCTTTTTAATCTCTGCAAAACATCTTGCAATGTTATGATGCTATTTTTAAAAACAACAGAGAACTTCGGAAAACCCACAACAAAACACCTTGACATAATATTTTTGAGACTAAAAATAAGCAGGAAAGGTAGGACAAAAATTAAAGTAATCCCCCTTAATACACTTTAAGACTGTGCTTTCCAAAGTATTCTGATCTGTGCTGGAGAAGGTTTATATTTATTTAATAAATACTCAATAAAAAGTAAAACAAGCATGCCCAAATATCACTTGCAGCCTAAGTGTTATACTCACAATCAAATTGATGACAGCCAAAATAAAAAGGAGAACAATCACACAAATAGCCAAGTTGCCTTTCCTGCCTCGTAAGCCTGTTTTATGGAGACGGTCTTCATCAATTGGGATATATCCAGCCTTAAAGTTACTGTTGTGTTCTTTATTAATGTTTCTCCGTTCCACAGCCTTCTCACGCATAGATTTCTTCACAGGGCCATTAGAACTTTGCTACAGCATGACACAAAGCATGGATAAATGGTTATTTTGCAGGCAATCAAAATTTATAACAAAAGTAAGAGTTTGAACCAGTGGAATATTTGTCTGATATCCCAATGTATAGTTTATCTATTTTTAAGTAACACCAATACAGAGGTACTTTAAAACCAATTATAAAGAATTTCTCGATTTTTTTTGTAACAGTATCTATAAATCAGTGATGCTGTTGCAGTAACTAATTAAATTTCAGTTGTAAAGAATTTCATTATGTATTTACATTTTGGGACTGATACAAGATGTGCTCCTTGTATCTAACTGGACTATTTACAGGCACCCAAACATTTATTTTTTAGTTCCCTGTGAACTACAGTGTGTCTCTCTCAGTGGGTTTACCTAAGAATGTAGAAAAGAGTAATGGTACAAGCCATAAAGTTATCTCACTGGTTGTCCCTAAGACAGAAATCCAAAAATATTTAAAAATAAAAAATGTAAAGGGACACCATCAATTTAAAAAATCTGAATATTTGTCTATTTGTTTACTAATTATATGTAACAAATAAGATTGCTCTAACAATAAGAAACAAATCTTTCAGGATTTTTATTGTGTGCTTTTGACAGCATTTTGTGCATAGTCAGTTTTCTCTGTTTCTGGGGGTCTTTCACTTCAGGAACAGGGAAGAGAAAAAACATTATAAAACCACAAAAAACTGGTAGGGAAACTCGTGGGCATGTATAACTAAAAATAGTTTTAACTTATTGTTTTGAACTGACTATATCTCAAGGTGACAGTATCACTTTCATTGATATTACTGGAGGGCAAATTGACAGGTAGGAAATGCTTTCATATAAAGTATTCTCAGGGATAGAAAGTGGAAGGGTTATAAGACTCCTATATTTTTAGAGCTTTGTACAAAACCTTATGGTACCTTGTTCTTTCTTGCTATTTTTCTTCTCTTTCAATACAGCAAGATGCTATTTTGAGGTCTAATCCTCCAAACATTCTGCAGATCAATTTTACTCACATGAGCAGTCTAACTTAAACATAATAAATGTTTTACTCCTGGGGGCATTCTGCGCCTAAAAATTCTGCGCCCCCCCAAAAAAAATTCTGCACACAATATTTTAAAATTCTGCAAAATTCTGCAAATTGTATTTGTCAAAATAACACTACATAATCACACCAGTTTCAATTATTTTGGTAATTTATTTCAAAATACTTGTCAGCAAGTATGTCTGTAACATTACAGACACACACACAAATTCCCCCAGGAGTAGAGAGTTAAAGAAACCCCTATGACAACCCTGTTCCTGTTTCTCTGCCCCCTTCCCTACCCCCCTCCAGAGCCCAGCCAGGGGAGGTCAGATGCTCACAACCCCTCCCCCTAGAGCCCAGCCACAATGCCCAGCCAATACACCCACATCCCCTCCCCTCCAGAGCCCAGCCATGGGGAACCCCAGCCCAGATACCCGCACCCTCTCCCCCCTGAGCCCAGCCGTGGGCCTCCCCCTTGCCCAGATACCCACACCTCCCCCCACCCAGAGCTAAGCCATGCCCCGCCCCCCCCAGCTCAGACACCTGCCTCCCTCCGCCCCAGAGCCCAGGGAACCAGAGGGAGAAACAGCCTGATGCTTGGTCCCAGGTTTGCATGGAGTGTCCTGCACACCATTTCTCCTTCCCTCAGGGCGTGCTGGCAACTGCAGCTGCCAGGAACCCTCTAGCTCCCTCTCCCTCCCACCAGCCGTGTCTTCTATGTGCGAGCTGGGCTCTGCTGGGTCCAGCACATTTCTGTGGGGGAAAGGAAATTCTGCGTGTACAATGTTAATTTCTGCAAAATTCTGCATTGCGCAGTGACACAAAATTCTCCCAAGAGTAATGTTGCAAGACTAGGCACATAGTGACTCCTTTTTCTTTTCAGGCCACATTTAATGTTACTTCCATGGATGATGAACTATGAGGGCATGTCCCTCTCTCCTCCCTCATCCCCTTTACCTCTCAGAGACAGATGATGATACTCCTTTGATCATTTTAGCCTCCACTACTCTAAGCGAGAATTCAAATAACCAGACTGAAACTTAGCCTAAGTCATATTTAAACACTGTCAACAAACCATCACACTGGTACAAATTAAATAGAATGAAGCATATGATCACAATTCTATTTACAATAAGCTACACTACATAGCTGTATACTGATTTATAAACTGTGAGACTGAAAGACATTTACTCATATGCTGAGATGTTACAACAAATGTACATTTTATTAACAAAATTCAGACTGTGAATGGGAAAACCTCCTTTCCCTATTATATAAATATATAGACACCGTTCCTATAGGTGAATCTGTATTCCAATGTACATTTTTAATGAGTATCTACATTTCTGTCATTTACCCCTACCAACAGCTGGCACGAAGTTCTATTCTAGCATGGCAAAAAGCTACTATTTTTCTTGGCTGAACACATTGTGAATGGTCATCCTTAATTTTTCAAACAAATGTAATGTGAGAGGCTTGATACAAAATGTAGTTCTTTCACTACATTTTAAATCAGTCTTGCCTGTGTAAGTAGATAGGGACCTTAGAGAACTCAGTAATCCAACTGCACAATGATAATCAAAACTTTTCAAAGAATCAAGATCAATTAAAAATAGAAATGAAAATTTAAAAATGTGTAGTCCTTTGAAGAATATTTTACTACAAACTGGAGTCCCTTTATAAAAAATCTTGTATTTCTAATATTTTTTTAGATGTATTTAAACAAGGAGGTGAGGTGAGGTGCGGTGCGGGGTGGGGTGATGTTCAAAAACCGTCCAGACCTTTACACATAATAAAGCAGCAAAAATACCATTAAAAAAAAAAAAACCACTGCTGCCAACTGCAAGCATTCAAAAATCAAGAATCAGGTCCTGTAAAATCATGAAATTTAAAAAATCTAATGATTTTTAAGCCAACCATTTTTTCATTATTTTATTTGTCTTCTGAGATCAGGTTTCCAAGCTATTCTCTGAAACCATAAGGACTAGAAACTTAGTTTAAAAAGAAAAAAAAGATGAGATGCTCAAAAAATCGGAGGACTCCAGAAGCTTAGGCTTTTACCAAAAACCCCAAATATGGCAAGTTTGCCGTGTTATAACCCTACTGATCCCAGTATATGAAAGAGGTGTCATGGTTTTCAAGATTGAAAGGCAAACTTGTCCCTTCCATCAACAGGAAGATGGTCCCGAAAAAGATTTTACCTCACAACTCTGAAACCTTTTCAGATCACCTTGAAAGGAAAAGGCAACTGTGAAAGGGTTAGCTTGCAATGAAACTCATCATAAATCAGGCACTCTGATTTTTTGTTTGATTTTACTATTTGAGTAACAGAAAATCAATGTGCAAAGAAAAACAACACCCTCCCATCCAACCCAAACCATAAAACACAACCTCGCCACCACCCATTAATCAAATGCCAAGGGCAGCAACTTTAAATACAGACAACTGTCTAGGCTGTAATTAGCTTCTCCCCGCCCAGCAGGGAAGAGCCGGTTTTCGTTATCCCAGCCCTGGTTTTTAACACCCGGGGGAGGGGAGAGCACTGTGCAGACGGGTTTCGCCCGCACGGCTTTCAGCCGGCCAGGCGCAGAGCGTGGGGACAGACAGTCGCTCCGCGCCCAGCGCTGGTTCTTCGGCTCCCGCAGGGCCTGGGCTGGGCCGGGTGTTCGGAACGCTGCGGGGGCGGGCCGGGCTCTCACAGCCCGCGGGCGGAGCAGGGGCTGGCTAGAGTCCGGCCTGGGGCAGGCTCGGGACCAGGCTCCACGGGGCCGGGCGCTCCTCTGCGGCCCATGGGGCAGGCTCCGGGCCAGGCTGCATCAGCCTTGGGGGTGTTTCTGCCGCTGGGGCCCCCGCCGCTCACGGGGCCGGGCTGAGAGCTCGGGTCCCCGAGGAGCCACGGCTGGGGGCGGTGCCGGCACAGCCGCCTGGGAGGGGCTCGTCCACGGCCGCTTTCCCTGGGGCCCAGGCTCCGCTGGGGCTGTTCCGCACATGGCGAGGGAGCCCTGGAGGCGGCTGTCCCCCGCGCGCCCCGCCGTTTGAGGGCCGGGCACAGACCTGGTCCGAGGCGGCTGCTGCAGCTGCTGCTGCCGCCGCCATCTTCCTCTCCTGCCGCTATGCTGTTGTCCCGCCCAGGCGCGGGGAGACTAGCGCCGCGCCAGCCGCCTGTCGCCGCTCCCTGTCCTGGCCTCGGCACCTCCCGCCGGGCTGGGCTCCCCGTGCTGCTCGTGTCCGGCCTGAGCTCTAGGGGGCAGGGTCGGGAATTCACCCTGCCGCTCCCCCCGGGGTGACCCTGGCCCAGAGCAGCCTCAGCCTGGCGGGGAGTGTCTGGATGAGTCTGGCACACACCCTGGCACCCCGAAATGCAGGCCCCCGGCCAGTTCCAGGGAAGAAGCATGAGCTTGTGCTGAAGGTCTTGTGGAGATTGGGAGTCAGGAAGTCTGGGCCAAATTCCTTGGTCTGCCACAGACTTTGGGTCACTTTCCCTCTTTGAGCCTCAGTTCCTCCTGAGTAACCTGAAGATAATGCTATTTCTTCTTGGAGTAGTGTCCCTGTGGGTGCTCCACTTCAGGTGCTGGTGCATCCCTGCACTACAGATAGGAGATTTTCTGTGGCAGTGCTCAGTTGGGGCCCACGTGCGCAGTAGTTGTCTCCAGATGCCATTGGCACCTCATGTAGCACCTGCACCACCCAACCCATTCAGTTCCTTCTCAACCGTCCTCGGCTGTAGACGGAGCTCAGTGGTAGTGCTGCCTCTTCCTTTTCTCTCTCTATAGAAATATTTAGATTAGTTGTAGTTTAGTAAGTCTAGTTTACTTAGTTAGATACTGTTCTTTTCCAAAAATAAATTATCTTCCCCATTCTTTATCTGTTGGGCAATTTTTAACGGCAACGATGCCCGGCTCGCCTGGGTTTATATGCTGTAACTCTTGCCGTGAGGCGATGCCTGTCTCTGACAGCCACTCATTGTGTGTCTGTTGTTTGGAGGAGATTCATATCCCTCAGAAATGTGCCCACTGTAGCAACCTGTAAGCCAGGGTATGACATGACAGAGATCATAGAATCATAGGACTGGAAGGGATGTCGAGAGGTCATCTAGTCCAGTGGTTCTCAAACTTTTGTACTGGTGACCCCTTTCACATAGCAAGCCTCTGAGGGTGACCCCCCCTAATAAATTAAAAACTTTTTTATATATTTAACACCATTATAAATGCTGGAGGCAAAACGGGGTTTGGGGTGGAGGCTGACAGCTCGCAACCCCCCCATGTAATAACCTCGCAACCCACTGAGGGGTCCTGACCCCCAGTTTGAGAACCCCTGATCTAGTCCATCCCGTGCACTCATGGCAGGACTATATTATCTAGACCATTCCTGACAGGTGTTTATCTAACCTGCTCTTAAAAATCTCCAATGATTCCTAGGCAATTTATTCCAGTGCTTAACCATCCTGACAGTTAGGAAGTTTCTCCTAATGTCCAGCCTAACCCGCCCTTGCTGCAATTTAAGCCCATTGCTTCTTGTCCTATCCTCAGAGGTTAAGAAGAACATTTTTTCTCCCCCCTCCTCCTTGTAACAACCTTTTATGTACAGTAACTCCTCGCTTAACGTTGTAGTTATGTTTCTGAAAAATGCTACTTTAAGCACAACAATGTTAAGCAAATCCAATTTCCCCATAAGAATTAATGTAAATGGGGGGGATTAGGTTCCAGGGAAATTTTTTCACCAGACAAAAGAGACTCTCTCTTTCTCTATATATACATACACATACATACAGTAAAAGTTTTAAACAAACAATTGAATACTGTACACAGCAATGATGATTGTGAAGCTTGGTTGAGGTGGTGGAGTCAGAGGATGGAAGAGGGTGGGATATTTCCTAGGGAATGCCTTACTGATAAATGATGAACTAGCACTTGGCTGAGCTCTCAAGGGTTAACACGTTGTTAATGTAGCCTCACACTCTACAAGGCAGCAGGAATGAAGGGAGGAGACATAGCATGGCAGTGGCTGCAAACATTCCCTGTGGAAACTGAACGTGATGAACCCACGCTATCCCACTGGAGTGCACCACTCCCTCCACTTTCCAAAATGCGTGGGTGGCATGTGTGTGTGAGATGGAGACACACTGTGTGTGTGTGTGTGTGTGTGAAAGAGAGAGACAGAGAGACACCGTGTGTGTGTGAGAGAGGGAGGGAGGGAGGGAGAGACAGAGACACATACTGTTGTGTGTGTGAGAGAGAGATGCGTATTGCCTCTTTAAGTATGCTGACCCCACTCAAGTACGCTGCCTTTTTAAGTAGATAAGCAAGTTGAGACAGCAGCTGCTGCCAGCAAGCTCCCTCTGTTCTGAGTCCTGTCCTGTCCTCCCCTGCTCTGTGGAGATGGGGTACATGAGCGGGAGGCAGGATTGGGGGGGGAAGAGGCACACCCTGACATCAGAACCCCTCTCCCCCCCACCCCTGCACAGGAAGCAGGAGGCTCCTGGGAGCAGCTCCAAGGCAGAGGGCAGAAGCAGCACACGGCAGTGGGGGAAGGGATACCTGAACTGCCCTGCAATTGATAGCCTGCTGGGCGGCTGCCACACAGGGAACTTAGGAGAGCTGATAGAGGGGCTGCCGGTCCACCCTGGTTCCAAGCCCCCACCAGCTAGCTCCAATGGGCTGCACTTTCTGCAAGTCATGGACAAAGCATGCGGCTGCCAAACAACGTTATAAGGGAGCATTGTGCAACTTTAAATGAGCATGTTCTCTAATAGATCAGCCACGTAACAACAAAACAATGTTAACCGGGACAACATTAAGTGAGGAGTTACTGTACTTGAAAACTTATCATGTCCCCTCTCAGTCTTCTCTTTTCCAGACTAAACAAACCCAATGTTTTCTAGACCTTTAATAATTTTGTTGCTCTTCTCTGGACTTTCTCCAATTTGTCCATATCTTTCCTGAAATGTGGCGCCCAGAACTGGACACAATACTCCAGGTGAGGCCTAATCAGTGCGGAGTAGAGCGGAAGAATTACTTCTCGTGTCTTACTTACAACACTCCTGCTAATACATAACAGAATGATGTTCGCTGTTTTTGCAACAGTGTTACACTGTTGACTCATATTTAGCTTATGGTCCACTATAACCCCCAGATCCCTTTCCACAATACTCCTTCGTAGGCAGTCATTTCTCATTTTGTATGTGTGTGCAGCTGATTGTTCCTTCCTAAATGGAGTACTTTGCATTTGTCTCCGCTTCAAGATGATTTTGATGGAAAAGTCCATTCAGCTTTCTCCTCAGGGACCAAAATCAACATCAGCAGATGGTTTCCCGAGCGAAACCTCTGCTAATGGGCGTGCTCGGTCTTCCAAATCATCCAGGAAGCAAGCCACGACCTTCCCTCATAAGGACACTCAGAAAAAGAAGAGGTCCCTGGGGAGGTTGCTATACTCAATGCCGAGCTTGACTAAAGTTAGCATCTTTGAGGCTCCGGGTACCTGAGGCTCCGGGTACCTCCGGCACCGTCCTTCCATGGACCTCTGCCGAGCCCCCCTGCACCAGCACGGAGTCGAGATGCCACTCCTCCTCCATGGCACCGACCACCCTGGTGCAGGACTTGGCACCGAGACCTGTGCCACTAGCAATGCTGGCACCAACTCAATCATTGGCACCGATGGACAGACTGAAAATGGCACTGTGACGTTATTGACATAAACTGGGACCATATAGATCATTGTTGCAACCAAGGTCCTGTAGTGGCACCCAAATCTTGTATAAAGGGGGTCAAATGGGGTGTCTAATTCAAGGTTATGGTTTACTGGTTATGATTAGGCTGTCTATATGTGTGTATCAGTTTTGTAGTTGAAATTATGAATATTGGCTCTATACTGTCCGTATGGCAAACTTATGCTATGCTTCTGGGTGACATCCCAGACAAGCTGGGATTAGCTCTGCCTAGCCTGCT